AGGGCTTCCTTTTTTTTTTTTTTAAAGTGTATTTTTATTTGAGAGAGAGAGCAAGTAGGGAAGGGACAGAGAGAAGGAGACAGAATTCCAAGCATGCTCTGCACTGCCAGCACAAGAGTCCGCCATGGGGCTCGAGCTCATGAACCGTGAGATCATGACCGGAGCTGAAGTCGAGAGTTGGACGCTTAAAGGGCTTCACCTTTTCAAAGCGAAGACCGTGGAGCAGTCTATGGCCGAACACCACCTGCCGCTTCCATCCGGCTCCGTGCCTCCGGGGGGCCGAGGGGCTGCAGGCGTGGCCACGGCTTCTTCTCTTCGCCCTCACCGGGGCTCACTACGTCTGTGTACCTCCGGCCACGAACAGCCGCTGGCTCGGGCCATCTCTGCAAGCCTTCCTCGGCAGCCCGAGGGCGTCCGCCTTGCCGCCCACAGCCCACTCCCGGCCTCACGTTGGCAGCACCAAAGAGCTCTTCGGACACGCAGAGATCTTCGGCCCTACCCGGACCCGCCACATTGGGATCTGCACTCAGCAGAATTTTCCAGGGAATCTGCATGCACATGGACACTCGACAGTTCTGTCGTGGGTGAGGGTGGTGCCCCACGTCGCCAGCGAGCAGCGCTCTGGACACTGGCAGGGCGTCCTGTAGTTCACCTTGCTCGGACCCTGTCCACCTGGAGATGGCGTTATATCCCACCAGTTAGGGGCCCAGGCCCTCCCCGCAACAGGTATCTTCCGATGCCACTTGCAAGCCACCTGTGCTGGCTGACCAGCCACACGTCAGCAGACCCCTCCATGGGTTCGATTAATCTGCTGGAGTGGCTCCCAGAACTCAGGAAACCCATTTACTCGTTTGAGCGCTGGTTTCCTACAGAGGATATTAGAGGATACAGATGGACGGCCAAATGAAGACAAAGCAGAGGGCGAGGTCTTAAACAAAGGGGCTTCTGTCTTCTGTCCTCGTGGAGCGTGAGCTTGGCGCCCGGCATGGCGGCACTTGGAAGCATTCTGTTCCCCAACCTGGAAACTCTTTGAATCTCCCTCCTTCGCCCCTGCCGGGAAATCGGGGGGACCGAAAGATCCCCTGGCAACCAGCCCCCATTTTGAGGTGCTTTCCAGAATCTCCTCCTAACATAAGCCCATTTCACCTGTATGGCTCCCAAGTGATTTCAGACGCTGAGGACAGGAGACCAAAGACCATTACGACAAAAGACGGTCCCACTGTGGCTCAGGAAATTGCAAGGCCTTGGGAGCCACGAGCTGGGTGGGAGCCGTGGAGGAAGACCGGTGTGTATGAGAATTATATTTAGGTCACTGGAATGAAAGCGTCGATTTCTCACAGATCAGAATGTCGCATCTACCACGTGCCTCTCACCCGCCTTCTGCTTAGGTGTCCTCAGCAGCCCGTGTCCCAGATGTCCCCTCCAGGTGTGTCTAGGGGACCTGGGAGCTGGAGGCTGGGAGTTGCTGCTTCCTGCAGAGCAGACTGGGCCGAACTGGCACTTCAGATGCCACTTGAAGCCTCTGCGTGTAGGACCGTCAGCCGCCCCACCTGGAAGGAAGGCCTTCACCGGGAGCTGGTGCAGTGCAGTGGGGTGTCTCTGTGTACAGGGCAGAGAAGGGGCGGGCGCCTGGGTGGCTCCTTCAAGTGCCCAACTCTTGATTTTGGCTCAGGTCGTGACTCACGGTTCCTGGGATCGAACCCCGTGTGGCTCCGTGCTGAGTGTGGAGCCTGCTTAAGATTCTCTCTTTTCGCTCCCCCTCTGCCGCTCTCCCCCGCTTGCACGCACGCGTGTGCGCTCGTGCGCTCTCTCTCTCTCTCTCTCTCAATTAAAATTAAAAACAAAAAACCAAAAAAAACCATACTGAGATGTCTTAGGAAGAAAGGGGCGGGGTCGAAGAGAAAGGGCAGACCCTGTAGCACCTGGGCTCCCTGGGCTCCCAGAAGTCCGTTGGCAGCAGTGTGGTGGTCTTGAGAACGGCCTTCGGAGGAAGCCGTCTTGCGTGCAGAGAACCTCGCCTCTGCCCCGGCCAGTAGTGCCCGAGGGTCCCTTTTGACAGCAAACGATTTTTTAATGTTTTTTTTTTTTTAATATTTTTTTTAATGTTAGTTTGTTTTTGAGAGAGAGAAACAGAGTGTGAGTGGGGGAGGCACAGAGAGAGAGGGAGACACAGAGTCCAAAAGCAGCTCCAGGCTCTGAGCTGTCAGCACAGAGCCCGACGCGGGGCTCGACCTCACGGACCGTGAGATCATGACCTAAGCCGAACCAACTGAGTCATCCAGGTGCTCTGTAATGTTTTAACGTTAATAACTCCAATACTTTTAATAGCCGTATTTGATAAAAAAAAATAGATTGCGGAAAAGATGAATTTAGTGACTCACGTAGGTTTGTGGGCTCGTGGGCTCAGCAGAAAAGTGCGTACATGCATTTGAAAGAGGGCAGGGTGGACGTTTTGTCAACATGCCTGGGATGCGTCCCAGGGCCTTAGACCAACCCCCCCACCCCATGCTAAGCCTCCGCTGACTCTGCCGAGTAAGAGGGGCCTGAAGCCGCCGGGGATCTTGGGGGTCCCTGTCTCTGGCCCCTCGGCGGGGCTGTCCCCACTCATCTCAGACCCGAGGCCCATCATTTTGCGTGGAAACAGGCCCTTGTCCTCCAGGAACCCTTGGCGGGGAGGGCAGCTGAGCCCGGACGGCCAGCTG